ATTTTTTACTCAGATAGAAAAGTGATCATGTCCAATGGGGAACTGAAGTGTGCAGGATCTTCTGTYTTTTTAAAGAGAAAATGGGGTCTTGGATATCACTTAAGGTAAAGACTTTGGGAAAAGCCTGAATATGTATGTTTTCAGTACTGGTTTATAACAAAGTTGGACAGCYACAAGTGTGAACTGCTCTCATGCTTCATTACAGTTATACCAGATTGTTAATTATTTTCTAATGATGTTCCTACTTTCCGGCCTCCTTGTGTCTTTTCTAACATTAGTTCTGGGCACAATGTCAACATTAAAAGCCAAAGCTGCCTTGTCTCATCAGGACTGCTTCATGTACCATAGGTAGCTGTTCTGTGCAGCCTAAATCTCTACCTTCCTCCCACTCTCCATTTTTCTAAGTGGATTTATACATTCCGATCATACATTTTCACCCCTTCATAGGGCTCAATGGCAAATATTTTTGAAAGCCATTTTCAACAGGGAGTAAATATGGTGTGAAAGAGTGGTGAGACCAGTGTCTAACCAGTGTCTAACTTTTAACTGTATGTCTAGGTTAAAAGAATTGTAAAAGCCCAAATCTATGGCCAAACAAAACATRGATGTGGGCCAAGTTTCTCTATGAGCCAATAAATTCTGACACCTACACTTTCAGGAGTAATAAGTTCCCCAAAGGAGTCTCTTCTGTCTTAATACTTTCACCTCCCTCTGTTTATCTTCATAGTAGGTATATAGTTTTAATCACAATAAGTTATGTGTTTCTTTGTAATTAGTTTATATTCCTTTTATATTTAGATTATAGATTTTCAAACTGACGGATTATTATTTTTTCCTCATTTTGTTTATTTCATAAAGCAAAGTAAAGTAGTACTCTAAATTTTGAATTTAACAAACCTCTTCTGTGGAAACAGTATAGAAAAATACTAATGCCTTTTCTTTTCTTTTGATTATTAGTTTGTATAAGAATGAGATAAGTGATCCAGAACAAATCACATCTTTCATTAATCATCATATCTCTGATGCTAAATTAAAACTAGAAAACAAAGAAAAACTTGTATTTACTTTGCCTTTGGAAAGCACAAGTAAATTTCCAGGTAACTTACGCATGATTACAATGGAATGAACTTTGGGATCAATGTTCACATTATTATAACGATTTTCATTATTTATGGACTTGAATTTTTGTCTTGGGCTGGATTATTTGAGAATAATAATTTGAGATAAGAATTTGAGTTTAATAAATTTTTTGGTGGTCTTTCCCTGAAAGGACCAGCAAAGGGTGGAGACATGAGAGAGGGAAGGAAGGAAGCCAGGGAATTTTGCATTATCAAGCAATTTACCCATTGTAGGCAATTCAAGTGCAATATCACAGGAGTAGGGGTAGGGAGAAAAGATTTAAGTATGTGAGCACAGAGTCAAGTCACCATAGGGGTAAGGAAGTTAGGGTAATTACGCACTACTCTCTATCTGTCGTTGGGTAAGGGTTAGATCCAGGYACATTAACTGTCTGGTCCTCTGGCTTGCTTTGAACATGACCTTAGCATAATTCTAAGGCTAGAAAAGAATCTCAAGACAGGTAAGTGTGTTTAATAAGCTGATTCACTGAGACTAGGAGA